GGGCGCGATACGGACAGGCAACAGGGACGGAAAGACAGAGCTTCCCAGTTTCCCAGCTTACCCCCCCCCACCGACCCACTCATGTTCCTTCCCCTTCCCCTTCCCCTCCCCCTTCCCCTCCTCCTCCTCCTCCTCCCCATGCTCGTCCACTCCTCCTTTATACGTTGGACAGACGTTGGCTTGCTTGAGCCATTCTCCGCTCCTGCTCATGCTCCTCCTCCTCCTCCTCGTCTCCAGCGATCCAAAACAGACCTCTGAAGGCCCCCGTGGAGGCCTCGCAGGCCGAGAGCTTCCAGGCACGTCCATCCTTAAACCGCCTGCTCCATCCCCCGTTCCCTCCATCCTCTCGGGTCGCGCGAAATGGGGGGATAGCAAAGGGGGGTTTTGAGAATCAGCTCGCGTAGCTGATTTTCCCGGCGCCGCCCGGCGCCGGGAGGCGGCCATGCATCGAGGAATGGGCCCCTCAGTGAGGCCGAAACCAGCTGCATGCAGCAAATTTCGTAACCCCCCCTTTCCCAATCCCCCCCTTTCGCCCGGCCCGATCCTCGGACCGCCTCCATATCCTCGAACCGACTCGACGTCCCCTCCGTTGAGGGGAGCGTCAGCGGGGGCCAGCTCAGAAGGGGAGAAACCTCAACTTGGAGTCGGCAACACTCGGCGGTGGACAAGCCTCCCTTTAGCAAAACTCCCCTTAGCGAAAACGGCCCGGGACCGAAACCGACGGACCTGGACCCGCAAAAACGACGGCCGCGACGCCCTCTCGCGAACCGAAAACGGCCAATTCACTGCTCGACGTGTCAGGGCAGGAGGTCTGTCCGCCCCCGAAACGCATCGCCGAGGGATCGGCGAGGTGCCCCCGACGGTGGAACCGCACGCTCCCGGGCGGGGCGGGCCATCCGGCCCCCACCGGCAACCAGTGGGCGAGCGTGGGCGGGATGGGCCAAGAATATACACCACCACCACCACCACCCTCCCCCCCTCCCTCTCGCTGGAAAGAGGAGAGAGGAGGAATCGACGTGGTGGTGGTGTATATTCTCTCGGCCCCCACAGGACAGCCCAGAATCGGATCGACAAGTCGAGTCGGCGATCGACACGAATCGGATCGGCGGAAATCGGCAGCCGACTCGGAAGGAGTCGAATCGGCGGAGATCGGCAGGCTCGTAGGCCTCCAGTGAGAAGCCGGAACCCAAATCGGAAGCCCGAGTCGAAGCGAACCGGAATCGGCATCCATCGAAATCGCCCTCGAATCGAATCGGAGGAATCGAACCGAGCCCCGTGTGGGTCGATGCATCGCCCCCCCCCTTAGAGGAAAACATGATGGACCCACGAACCCGGAAAGGGATAAAGACATGTGCAGCATGGTCACGTTTTCACGATACCCAACTGGGCGACATCTCACGAAACATCCCACGAGACACCCCGCGAAACAT